CTTCCTCTCTCTTTCCTGGTGCCCTTTGCACCAGGGAAATACAGCAGGCTAAAAGCTACAGGGTTTTTTCACATACCACAGTAGAAACAGTAACCGAGTTATATTTGTCAGAGTCACAGTAGTTTATGCATATTTGCTATTCACAGACTGCAGAATATTGCCAATAACCTCACTGGTGGGACTGACAACACGGATACATGCATTCAGGTGAGACCATTAGCAAGGATGTCTATACTGTATTAAGCACATTCATTTTTTTAAACACCTTCCAGCAAAATCGATTCCTTTAAATTTGTAGTTAAAACTTTTTTTTTTTTTTTTTTCCACAATTACGCACAAAAGAACCTGTAAACAGTTTGACATTACACTTATGTACAAGTGAACCACGTTGGAAAGTCGAGAGGTAATTCAGTGGGTGCCACTTAATCTAAATCAATGTGCAACAGACTGACTCAGCCTCGGCGAAGTCATTTAGTGCTGAATGAGGTCCGAAAATGTAACGTAAGCAAGGCCCCGAGAGATCCCAGCGGCACCAGAGCCCCTCTGCATCCCGAGGGCTGGGAAACATTGCACTGGCAGCACCCCAGTGCAGCCCCAAGGCCTGGGGCCCGGCTCTGCCATCCCCTGGGGACGGCCAGAGGGGACCACGGGGACATCACCTCCCTCTGCCCCAACAGCAGCCACGGAGCCAGCTGGGCCCTGCCACCCTCCTGCTTCACCTCGCTCATTTTCTCTGTGGAACTCTGAATTCGTGTTTGCTTCAGCATTGCTATAGTTTAAAATCTGCAATATCCTACTTATAAACGGATTTTTTAGCTAAGTGACATCAATGCCAAGAAAAATAAAGAATGTCTTTTTATAATATAAATAATTTAAAAGTGCTTTTTCTTCTTTTGTTTTTTTTTTTGTTTGTTTGGTTTTTTTTGTTTTTTTTTTTGTTCTTTTACTATTAATCTACAAAACCCCGTTGGGGCATAAACTATCCATAAGACTGGACAATTATTTTCTACCATGATACACATGGGGCCTTATGCATAAAGTACTCTGAAAGTCAAGTCCGTACTCGCAGTGCTGGGGGGCTTGGGGAGGGGGCTGGGGGTCCCTCCAGCCTCGCCAGGGCTGGGACAGCAGGGTGGGACACGGCTGAAGGACTCGTGATGGCCACTGCCAATAAAACCCAACCTTGCCTCTCCTTCAGCCCACAGCCTGCAAATGAAATTAATAAATGGACCCAGCCAACTTAAACCCAACCCGCTCTCCAGGCTGTGCAGCCCCTGTGCTGTGTGTGCAGACGGTTTAGGGACAGAACAAAACCATCTGTTCCCCAGGGGTCTGTGGAAATGACACATTCTCTGTGTCCCCCGAATGCTGAGTCCTGCTCAGGTGTCTCAGGGGGGTTGGGGTGGCAAAGCCCCTGGAAACTGGGAATTCTGCTGCTGGGAGCTGAGTCTCAGTCCCACTGCAGTCAAGGGAAGTTTTCCAAATAGTTGCAACAGAACTTGGTCTTTGTTACTGGTTGATAGTAGCTCCAAGTCCAGTTTTCTTCCCAGATATTTTAGAAAGAATAAAGTACTCCACGAGCAGAGTTAATTTTGGCTTGCTACAAAACCTGTCCTAGGCAGCCACATGGGTTCTCTCACGGAAACCGAGTCCAATTGGAGTAGGACATGCTTTATAGCCCAAAGGTCTCTCCCAGGCAATCTCAGTTTCCTTCCTGCCCTGTGCTTCATCTCCCTCCCTTCCCAGCAGGGAGCGAGGGGCCGGGTGTGCTGAGCACTGGCCACGTTCCCCTGCAGTGCCCTGGCTCTGCGGTGCCACTGCAGCCCCCACCCGCTGCAGGGTGTCCTGCCCTGGGCACAGCCACGGCTGCCACGTCCCACACAGCCAGAGCAGCCTCCCCAGAGAGCCACCGGCCCCTGCCCGTCACCTGGGGTGGCTCTGTCCCCACCCGGGGTGGCTCTGTCCCCACCCGGGGTGGCTCTGTCCCCACCCAGGACAGGGGTGCCCGTGCAGCTGTGCACCCCTGTGTGCATGGCACTAACGCTGGGATCTCCAGGGCCCATGTGGGAGGTCACCCTCCTGCCACCGTCCCGGTGCCTGCGGAAGGTTTGGTTGCTCCCTCCTGACCCACCTGGACTACGGGGCCATGGTGGAGCAGCATTTCCAGCTCCCCTGCTCTCCTGGGGCTCCTCTGCGGCACTGCCAGGTGTCCCCACCCCTGTCCCAGGGGGGGCACAGGGAGGTGCCCCAGAGGTGCTGGGGGTGCTGTGGGGCACTGGTGGTGGTGCAGAGGAGGGAAGGAAGGGAGCTCCGGGCAGCAGTGGGGACGCTGGGCAGAGCTGCTGACCCCTCCAGGGGTGTGAGAGCCCCCAGCACCGCCCGGTGTCCCTGCGTTCCACCTACAGCCCCCCAGTGCCTCTGAGCAGCACAAAACCTGCCAGCACAGCCCCGGCTCTGCACAAACCACTCCCAAAACAGCTGTCCACGGGGTCAGAGCAGAAGCAGGTCCCTCAGAGATGCAGCAGAACGCACACAAACACACACGGGCACGGGCCCCACACCTGGCACTGCCCCAACCCGGCCCCAGCCCAGGCTGGGTTTCCCGGCAGGTTGGTCCTGCCTGTTACTACCGAAGTTTAAGACCTTTATTTCTGTAGCAATAACCATTTCATCTCAAACTGGAGACATGAAGGCCACATAAATCAAGCCCACTTGGGCACGTTTCATTTGGTCTAATTTTCCCCCAGTTATTAATCACGGAGCAATCCCGTGTCCCTGGGAACACCCACACCCAATGCCTGCTCCTGCACCCAGCTCACAGCACAAGCAGCTGGGGTTCTCGGGAGACAGGGAAAGATCTGGAGTGAAAGCACGAGGTTTTAGCTGCAGTCTCCTGCCAAGGAACAAAGGTGACCTGTCCTAAAGCCCTGCTGGAAATCCAGAGGAGAGCCCTGTCTGTTCCCCAGTTCTTGCTTCAGAGCAAGGGGCAGGGGTCCCAGGGGGACAAGATGCAGGAAATGTTGAGTAGGGAGAGAAAAATGCTGTAAACTAACCATGAAATAACTAAGCAGGGCCGAATCTGTGGGGCTTGTATAAAACATTGATGTCCGTGGGAAGATGCGCCTTCAGAGCCTGTGAGTAGAGGGTGGCACAAGAGGCGGGCCTGAATCCCGGTGGGAGGGAGTGTCCTGAACCCTGAACTGGCTCTAAAGCACAATCCTGGGAAGTGCCGAGTCTCTTCGCTGAGCATTTCCCAGGCAGAGCTCCTCCTGCCCCCACTGAGGGGTCCCAGAGCTGACCCCAGCTGCACATCCCAGCCCTGCTCCTGCTTGTCGATCCCTCTGGACAAGTATTGCTTCCTCTTTTGGCTGGTAAAAGGTGCCCCCGCCCCCAGACACCACCGTGGGCTCATGGAGACCTCAGGTGTCCCCGTCACCCCCGTCCCAGCCCGGCATGATGGCACCAGGGTTCCTCCTGGCTGGAACTGCAGCAGGATCGCAGGGAGAACCTGGGCAGGCAGGACAGCATCTCTCCCACAGCAGCTGCTGGAATTCAGGCGGGGGAAGCCCTGGAACCTGCAGGACACTTACCGAGCGTTCTGTGTTACCAGCGCCGTCACTGACCACAGTTTTATATTCATATATATATCTATATATATATATAAATCTTCTTCCTGTGCTTTAGAAACAAATGATTGATCCCAGCTGCTCTAGCTGGTTTGTCCCCAGCTGTGGCCTCCACAGCTGGAGCACTGTTCCATCCCTCTCCACGGCTGCCCTGGCCCCTCTCTGGCTGTCCCCAGGCCTGTGCCAAGCCCTGCCCCAGCTCTGGCCAGCCCGTGCCCCCTCCCCAGCCCGACCCCTCTGCCCTTCCTGGGCTGGGCAATGCAGGGCCAGCCCAGCCCTGCCCATCCCTGGGCTCTGGGGACACACAGGGGACACAGGCACGGTGCCGCCACGGCCCTGGCACCGCTGGCACCTGCGGGAGGGGACGCAGGGGGCTCCTCCTGGCACAGCCCTGCTCCCACTGCAGCTCCCCACGGCACAGCCCCCGGGCGGGCTGGGGACCCGGTGCCCGCTGTCCCTGCCTGCTGTCCAGCTGCTCCTGGACACACACCTGGCACCTGCAGGAGGGAACATCCTCCCCAGCATCCCTGCACAGCCCACAGCCATCCCCGGGGCTTTCCAGCGGGGACAGAGCGCCGCCAACCCACGGGCACCCAGAGCCTTGGGAAACACGAGAGGTGTGGGCAGCACACGAGGGACAGGAGCATCCCAAACAAACGGAATAGTTTGCTGATGGTAACACAAAGCCACAGACTGCGCCCTGGTCTCCCCTGGGACACATTTACAGTGCCCCAGGGACGGGGGAGGCCTGGCAGGGGCAGCAGGAGAGAGACAGGGAGATGGATTTCTACTCAGTTCAGCCCTCAAAGGCCTGGAGAAGGAACGGGACATCCACAGACTATAAAAAATGCTCTTTTCTGAGAAAGTGCAGTTATAAGGAGAGAGCCAGAAAATCTTTAAGCAGTATATATTGATATATATATATACATATATATATATACACAGAGATATATATATATACACATATATATATATATATGCACATATATAAATACACATGCTTAAACTGCCGGGGCAGAGCTGGGGCTTTGTGCTGTGCTCCTCCCTGCGGCCACGTGTGCTCCGAGCAGGATCCAGGAGCCCTCAGCACCCTGCCCTGCCTGCTCTGGGGCCACGCCAGCATCCCTTGGGGAGGGCCTGCCTGTGCCCTTAAGGTTCTCAGCTTGTGTAAGACTCCGGGTTTACAAACAAAAGCGTTTGTCATTGTGCTTCCAGGACTGCAAAAATATCGTTCCCCTACGACTGGAAATGTTAAGGTGAAATAGGCAAATTAGGCAGTACTAGAGATGGATTTTGGTTTTGGTGACCTAACAAATAGTTATTGTTGGGAATTACTTCTGTGTCGCTCAGGAGCTGGCTCTCCCCGCCCGCAGCCTAAAGGTGGTACTTCCGCAGCAGTTCGGATTGCCAGGGGTGCTTCCTCTCGGGAAACCTGTCTGGGATTTTGATTTTGAGGAAATCCTGGATACATTTTTCCAGCTCTTCCTCGATGGAGAGCTTCTCCTTCACTGCCTTTTTCTTGCTGGAGTTGGACTCGCGGGAGCCGGAGGTGAGAGTCCGGAGCAGGTCGCTCTTCCTGCGGATCTCAGACTGCTGCAGCAGCTGCACCGGGCCCTTCTTGGCCGGCCGGTCCAGAGTCTGAATGTTGGGCTGGCGGGTGACAGGCCCGCAGATGACGGTCTCCTGCGGGGAGCTGGCCTCGGACTGGCTGTCACAGCTCGACGTGGACAGCTCGTTGCAGGACGTGCCGCTCTCGCCCTCCTTGTCGCCCTTGCCGTTCTTGCAGCAGCAGTCGCAGTGGGACGAGGACCAGCGGGAGGGCTCGCCTGCAGGGGACAGAGAGCCCGGGGTTACGGCAGCTCCAGACCCCCCCACACACCCCAGGACAGGCTGCTGAGCCCCCCTGGACTGCCGGGGCAGCCACGGGAACCCCGCAGGGACCTGAACATCCCCCGGGACCCGACAGCAGCTGCTCCTCCGTCCACCCCGCTGCCATGTGCCGCTCACAATCCAGAGTGGGCTGAAACTTCTCCTGAGATCCCCCGGGAGAAACCACCACCGAGAATCTGACAGGGCAGGTGTGGCTGGAGCCCCCCTGGCTCTGCAGATGCCGTTTGCTCCCTGGGGCTCCACAGCAGAGCCTGGCGAGCAGAGACAGAGCCCCTGGTGCATCCAGCACCGGCAGCCTCTGTCCTGCCAGGGATCGCCCCCCACACGCCCTTCCCTCCCCAAACCCCAACCCTGCCCCCCAGAACAGCCTCCCGGCACACGAGCCCTGCTCACAGCCACACCACAGGCTCTGGGTCCTCCCTTTGCCTGAGCCCAGGCTCGGGAAGCCCAGGACAGGGACAATTCCCGATCCGAGGCTGTTTTCCAGCTGGAGCCGTGCCCAGCCGCAGCAGTCCGTGAGCAGGGGAGGGCTGGCACCGGGACCAGCTCCGTGCCCAGAAAGGTCAGCTGGAGCATTCCCTGCCCTGGGAATGGGCACTCCCAGCTCCTGCAGAGCCACCACAGCCCCTGCTCTGGTGTGACAGGAGCCACGGGCTGTCCCCAGCGGCACAGCCGGGCCCGAGGCTCTCCCACAGCAGGACAGGGCTGCAGGAGGGGCAGGGAACGGGCATGGCGTGGCTGGAGCTGCAGCTCCACCCTGGGCTGGCAGCGGTGATGGGACACAGGGTGACAGGGACACACGGTGACCGGTCACAGCTGCACCAGAGCTCCTGTGGGGCCAGCTGGCGAAACTTCCTCACACCATGGACTGAGGTGACTCTTTGCTGCTCTGCCCCTGCTCCACACCCCCATCAAAGAGTGGGGAAAAAGAAGGAAAAAGAGAAATAGGTGTTGGTGCCAGTTCAGAGCCCTGAGCCGGGGAGCAGAGCCTGGGGACGGGGATGTGAGCTCTGCCCTGCTCTCCTGTGTCTCCATCCTCACCCAGCCTGGAGCACAGTGCACACAATTTACAGGAACAATTTACAGAAGTCAGGAAGGCTCCTCATCTCCTCCTTCCTCTTCCTTGTCAATGATGAAGGAGTCTCTCAGTCTGGGAGCTGCAGGGCTTATCTAATTTACAGACTCACTTCAAAGCTGCCCTGTGTCTTGTCTGAAAACAGTCAATAATGGCTAAATTGAAATTTTTTATCAATTTCTAGGCTTGGACAGAGGCATTATGAACTGAGCCCCTGTAAAACCCTGACCCACGTGCTCTGAGAGCACTTCCAGGAGCTGTGTGGATTCCAGCTCCTTATTGCAGCTGATGGCCAGGGCACTGCTGGGACGGTCAGTGGAACTCTGCACACAGTCCCAGGCCACGGACACCCCTCTCCCTGCTGGGACTTGGAGGCTGTCACACAGCCCCAGGAAGGTTTGGAATGGAGGGGATGTTAACCTCACTGCAATCCCCTGCCATGGCCAGGGACACCTTCCAGCAGAGCAGGTTTCTCCAAGCCAGCTTTGAACGCTGCCAGGGATGGGAAAGGCACATCTCCACATCTTCCATGGACTGTGGGCAAGGAGAAGGGATTGAGCCGAGGTGGCAGCTGGGGCAGAGGGACCCACCAGCTGCCACCAGGCACAGCTACGGTATAGACTTCATTACCACAAAACAAGGCTTTTATAAGTCAGTTAAGACCTATTAGATGCTAATTTCACGTAATGAATATTCACCAACAATGGGCACACCGGGGTAAGCCAGGAGACAGAAACGACTTTGCCCCAGTAGAGAGTTTTGTTGGAGTCCAGGGCCGGTGTGGTGGCACAGCTGGGAGCTCCATGGGCTGGGCTGGGCTGGGCAGGGAGCCCACGGCTGCCCACGGGTGCCCAGGGGTGCTCAGGGTGCTCAGGGGTAACCACGGGTGCTCAGGGGTGCTCAGGGTGCCCAGGGGTGCTCAGGGGAGCCCACAGGTGCTCAGGGGTGCCCAGGGGTGCTCAGGGTGCTCAGGGGTGCTCAGGGTGCTCAGGGGTGCTCAGGGGTGCTCAGGGTGCCCAGGGGTGCCCAGGGGTGCCCAGGGGTGCTCAGGGTGCTCAGGGGTGCCCAGGGGTGCTCAGGGTGCTCAGGGGTGCCCAGGGGTGCTCAGGGGTGCCCAGGGGTGCTCAGGGTGCCCAGGGGTGCCCACAGGTGCTCAGGGCTGGGGCTTTGCACAGCTCACACCTGCCCAGCCCGTGTCTCTGCAGAGCTGCTGGGGACACAGGGGGACACAGGGGACCACAGGGACCCAAGAACCATTTCTGTGTCCTGCAGTGCTGGGCAAGCTCCTGCAGAGCAGCCAGGGTGGGCAGGGAGGGGCTGAGCCCGCGACCGCGGCAAAGGAGCATCGCGCTGGCTTAACCACAGCACTCATTAATTAATGTCTAAATGCTTTGAGATCCTTAGATAAAAGTGGCTAATTAATTCTGGCCTGGCTTTCCTGCTTTCCTCCCTGATCTCAGCACATTTCTCTCCCAGTGCCCTAATTATAATAATTATTATTAGAAGCTTCTGAAGCAGCAGCAAAGCCTGTGATGTATAATTGACATGCAGACCAGCAGCCACCCAGTTTTCCCCTTCTCTCCCTCTTTCCCAACAACCAGGCTGCAAGGAGGGAATGGGAAATCCCTGTGCAGGAGAACAGATGCTGTGAGAAAACCGGGGAGGAGCGAGGAGCTGGGATAGAAACCAAGACTGACAAAAGCCAGTGAGAGATGGCACAGGGACCCTCCCCCAGCTCAGACACCCCTGAGCAGTGCTGGAATTGGGAAATGCCTGGGATGGACAGCCCAGCACAGACAGCCCTGGGGGCACAGGGCAGGACCCTGTCCCCATCCCCTTGTCCCCCAGCTGGCAGTGCCACCCCGGTGCCAGGGGGGGCTGCAGAAACACTCTGAGGGGTCTAAAAGTGCCCCAAGGCCCAGTGCCCAGACATACAATGTTGTCATACTTCAGAACAAATGTTAGAAATTTCCATTCTCCAGGAAATGGAAATCAGGAAAAATTGTCCTGATTCTCCAGGAAATCAGGAAAACTTTTAATTTTTCCTCCTCTTGAATTTGTGCTGAAAGTGCCAGCTGTGAGAGGGCATGCACTGTGATGGGGACTGAGCTCTCCCACAGCACTGCCCTCACAGGCTCCTTCTCAGAATGATGTTCATTCAGTTTATGTTCAGTTGGTGCTTTATTCAGTTTCTGCAGTTTGCACAGCCCTTTTTCCTCAGCTTTGTGGGCAGGCTGGCGATGTTGTCACGGCTGGGAAGGGACAATGTCCCCCAGGCAACAGCTCAGACACATCTGGTGCCCATTTGTGAGGCAGACAGGGATATTTTCTGTATCCAGACACTCATTTACCTTCACGTGTGTGGCTGTACCAACCTCCCAGCCTGTGATCATCACCTGAGCCATTTCCCTCCTGTTCTCAATCCACTCTGATCCATTTATGTTGTCCTCTCACCTTTTATTCCTTTCCCTGCTCCTTCTGCTTTAGGGCTTTGTTGTTGGTTTGATTTATTTCTGTTTCATGCTCCTCTTCCCCTTGCTGTCCCATGATTTCACCTGTCCCCTGCTCTGGGTTTTGCTGTCTCTTCGTCCCTTTCTGTTCTCTGCTGGGCCTCAGTGGGTCCCGTTTCCAGCTCTGATACCCCCGTGCCCAGGGGGGAACGGGGCATCCCCAGCTCGGGGCACCCCTGTGCAGCTCCCATGGCCTGCAGGAGCCCTGGTACCCTGTGCTCCCCACCTTCTGCACCCTCTGCTGGCTCCCAGGGCCCAAGAAGAAGGTGTTGAAGCTTTCAGAGCCGTGCCCTGTTGTTCACGAGGTCGGTGCAGGCTGGGTTCCCCGGCTGAGGACAGCGAGGGTTTGGCTTAGCCCAGCGCTGGGGTGTGCAGGGATGGAGGGGCTGGCACTGATGAGACACCAAGCTCTAACTGGTGTTTAATAAATACATTCTGACTCAGTAATTGGGACAGATTTATCGGCAGAAAGTGCCCGTGTCTAAACGAAATCACCCAGGAAAAGCTGAGGAACAACAACACATTCCAGGCACCGATGGGCTCCAGGACCTGTCCTGGCAGCAGGACGGACACCCCGGGCTTTATTTGCTTTTAGGATCAAGTATCTGCAGTAAAATCTCAGTGAGAGACAAACCTGGGAGGGACTTGGCAGGAACATCATTGGCTGGAACCCTCCCATATGTTCAAAGGCAGCAGTGGGTGGGGGGAGAGGGATCTGGGGAGAGGAACTGGGAGAAAGAGAACCAAGGAGGGAAGGGAACAGACAGACCCTGTGGCTGTTCCAGCCCCCTTAGGAAGCTCACACAATTTTTTACCCTTCTGGGGGCAGCTGGGGACACCTGGGTGCTGCCATCTGATTTGAATTCAATTGAAATTGAAATTAAAATTTAAAATTTCTAGTCCAAAGTGTTTTCCGTTTAAAGATTCTGAACTTGCCAAGCCAATATAAACCCCAGAATTGTTCCCTGGTCTGTCTTGTTTGTGCACGGTGATTTTCAGCCAGTCCCCAGCAGCACACACACTTCCATCGGGAGTCTCCCAGCACACTGTCATTTTATCAGCACTCCTGCAATCTTCCCTAAAACACTTGCTTCTGGAAGTGAACTTCCGTAAGAGTACCAAATTTGTTTGAACATAAAAATAAGTTCCCCAAACGGTGGAGAAAAATAAGAGACCTGGTGTTAAGATACCAGAAGGCGTATTAAATGAGCCAAAATATTTATATAGGGATCTTCTCAAAGTAACATGTGATGAAGTTAAAATTTGGAGAGGAGGGAGCAGCCTGAAGTGTGAGCAGCGGGATGCTGAGACACAGAGCGTGGGGCCAAGCTGGTCCCTGCAGCCATGTCAG